TTTATTTGGCCTTATATTGGGCAAGTACTGGTATTTGTTTATCAAATTTCGACAAAATACCTCTGTCTCCACAAATTTTCTAAAGTATATCCACTATAATGTAAAACACAAGAGTGAATGCTTGCACTGAATTACCCACCAGCCCATCAGCCGATATTTATTCAAGGTATGTACATATACATGTAGAAGTAATTGTTTTTTTAAACTACACGTACTGTAGGTGTCAAATTTTTTCTGCGGTTATTTAATAGAGTATTGTGTGATTAACTACATGAACATGGATACATTCATGTTGGGCTAGAGCACATGTTGCAAACGTACAATACTTGCCCATTGCATGTACATCTTCCGTTCATTGCAGAGCGACAATCTCATTCTATCACCATTTGGCTATGACCTCTTCTCTCTCTCTCTCTCTCTGTCTCTCTGTTTTTCTCTCTCTTGCTCTCTCTTGCTCCCTAACTTTAGACCTACTGTACATTGACATACCCTTCTGTTTCTCAACCTAAAAAATGTACCTTCCCTTTCTATCACTCCATGACATCATTTGAAGAATCTCCACGTCCTCCTCCTGAACCTACAGCTAGCTTTCATGCTTTCTCCTGCCTTTCCTTTCCTTTCCCCTCTCTCTGCCTTTATCTTCCAACCCCCTTCACCAAAATATTTATGCAAGAGCTCTATAAATCTTGGCAATCAAAAACATTTGTCAAACACTTGTCAAACATTTGAGTTCCCAGCTGTCATTTAGGGTTATGTGCTACTGCATGCATGTTCATGAGCAATGTACATGTACCTACATGTAGATGCTACCTGGACATGGAAGTGTGATACATCTTACTTCAATAGAATGCATAGCAATTTGTATCAATTCATGTAAATTCAGCCGGACAACAAATTCACATGCTTTGTCACATACGTGTAAGACATTAATAAACATAATACATGTATTATATATTTAAATGTGTCTGTTTAATTACCCTGCTAGTCTCAAGATTACAATTTAATCAACTGAGGTTTGCTCAAGACATGTTTTACCACTTCTAGTTTCTTCATCACCAGACTCTAATTACCTAAAAACAATCTGTAACTTGAGTTCTGGACATATTAACAAATTCATGTTTTTTTACAGCAAAAATAAAAACAGGCTAAAAAATGTTCACCTGCACTGCCAGCTAATTTTCATTTTTGAATTCCCAACCTTACAACGATTCATAACATTCAAGACCAAATACAGTATGCACTGTCTATATGCAAATCAGGGAAACTAATAGTGAAATAGTACAAAGTAGCCCTACAATACATGTACAGATTGGAATCAGTTTCACATAAACATTCGACGTGGGCCTACTGTACACAGCATGAGTACATTGAACATGTACACTGTATATGTACATGTACTGACCACAATACAAACCAATGCTTAGCTACCCAATCTGACCTGGCTGCAGAGATTTTGTTACTGGAAAATAAATCATGTTCGCCAGGCACAGTGACAGGAAGGAAAGAGGAAGCCTGTAGCTTCTCTAATCTTGACAACTTAGAAAGTTCTCAATGATGGCCTGGCTATACTTCTCACGCCCATAGTATCACAGTGGCACAATGAGTTAAAGGTCCCAATCACCGACAAATATGTTTGCTTATTCATACATGTGTGTATACCGGTATTCAATGTACATGTATATGCTACCTCTGTTATGCCTCAGTCACACCTTTGCGTATTTGGCTTGCTTGCCGTGTATTTTTGGCAAGCCATTTTAACATTTATTCCTATTTCTTGATATCAAGAATTATCATTGCTTTGTTCAACAGAAAATGATTTCTTGATATCAAGAATTACCATTGCTTTGTTCAACAGAAAATGATATCTTGATATCAAGAAATAGGAATAAATGTTTAATCGGCTTGCCATAAATACGCAAGCCAAACTCCCATAGGTGTGACTGAGGCAATAGGGTTAGTTTCACATTAGATAAATCGTATTGTGCGGAGAAGCAATGTATGGGCGTGGCAGAGATATCCTTCTAGCCTTGTCAACCAAGCACAGCACAGATAAATTTTACGTATCTTCTTAAAATTTAATAATTTTATTGCAGAGTGACCGCAATTTTGAATATTTCAAAATTGGCGAAGTCAAATACGTTCAACTCTCAGAATAATGTGACAAATTAACAAATTAAATGTCGCCAAAAACGATATTTAAAACTTAAAAGTTGCACTTACAGTGTACATCTACATGTAATCATGCAACAAAATTGTGAAGTTAAAACAAGTGCATTTCTCTCTTTACTTTTTCCAGAGCTCTTTTTAAAAACAGTTTATATCTCTGTTTGTTTCAGCCTAGATGTAATGTCTTCCTTTGTAGGTCATCATGGCTCAAAAAACACACGAGGGCGACAGGTGATTCGCCCACGTGAGCTACATAATGGCCTCCGTCTCATTGCTCAGGGGGCGATTTCAAAATTAAAAATCGCCCCCGTGGAATTCTAAAATAAAGATTATCTTTTCTGTAATAACTTTCACACAATATTGAGTTTCAACTTTCAAACCTTATATAGAACTAATAGTTAGATTTTGTGCATGATATCTCGGTCATAATTTTTGATGTCTAGAGGCTGCCATATTGTAAACAAATGTACGCTTATTTGCCGGAAGATGGCGCTATATCTCTCATCTCCACAACTCCAAGAGTATTACCGATACAAACAACGGAAGCTCGCAGTGCAGTGCAGCCGTCAGCAATGGCTATACTGCGCTGTTAGTACCAGTGTGCACGCTGCCGCCTCATATCTGCTGAAGCTATAGGGGATCCACAAGGACCACAACATGGAGAAGTTTTTCGTTGTGAAAAATGGGAATCCTCTGAAATCTGGTGATTCCAAAAGACCAGCAAATAATTAACATCGACAAGTAAATCGACCGCAAGCTAAAATAGTAGGAAACCTGTTGGAGTCCTGATTGGACCACACATCTCGTACAGAGGGAGGAGATCTGACCATTAGCTGCATGTAACTTGTAAAGTTGTTAGAGCAAAAATGCTGACTTAAATAAATAATAATGATGAAATAGCAAAGAATTTAGCATTCATGGGGACCACTTCAATGGAAATTTGTATTTAAAAAAAAGAGCCCCCGTCAGTACTAAAAGAGCCCCCGTCAGTACTAAAAGAGCCCTGAGAAGGTTTACGGGGGCTTTTTTTTATGGAAGAGCCCTGTGGACAAAAAAAAATAATTTGAGCCCAGTACACTATATATCTGTCAAGCACTTAAAAACGTTTGAGATGTATTAAGCGCTATATAAAAACTGAATATTATACTATTATTAAATTACCCTCAAGATGGCAAAAAACACCTTACAACCTACCATGATACAATGTCAGTTAAAGTGACACCTTGCTCGAGAAAAAGAAAAAAAAACATAAATCACAGAACCGGCACAGAAGTTACAATATTTGAAGGGGTTATGGCACTAGTTTTACAACTAAACAATCAACCCAAACATCCATGCTTGGATGAAATTGCTCAAACCTGCATTATCGGCCTATAGGCCCCACAGGGGCTTCTTAATTTGCTAGAATATGAAGATATTTTCTATATTCATGTGCATTTAATAAATGCAAATGAGAAAAATGGAAATTGCTAGAATGCATGCCGATAATTTTTCCATATTTGAGCAGATTCTGCAGGCCATCTGGGATGGTGGAGCTGGAGCAATTGTGCAAACTTACCCAAGCAGAAGATGGGGGATGGGGGATGGGGGATGCCAAGGGGAGGGGAGATACAAAAGAGTATTGGACAATTGGTCAACTGTTTTGTTGTAAAAACAAATTGCTGAAACTCTTCAAACATCACGATTTCTGTGGGCTTTCTTTGATTTATGTAGGGACATTTTCTCAAGCAAGGTATCATTTTCCCCTGAACTTCTATGTTTTTTGTCTGAGCTGTGATCTATTGAATTTTGTGTGTGATATATGCTTTGCATTTTACAGTGATTTTGCAATGCATTCAAATAACCGGACTTACAACTGTAACTCTATTTTGCATAAAGATTTGCAGACAGTCATATTACAGTAACATCACCATCATTTTCATCATTTATTGATCATTCCATCATGGAAAGTGTCTGCATATTTTCATGACCCACAATGATGTCCGATTACAATCCATGACGATGTGCATTCTCTCTGTCTCACTTAATCTCACCGACTCAATGAGTTCATGAATTTATAATACTCATAAATATCGAGGGGCGCTGGTCCGAGAATGAGGATTGTCCGCAGAAACAAGGACATGTAAACGCGAACAAATCACGTCCTAAAAAAAAAAGGATCGTCCACATTTCGCGGACATAATTTTTTGTTCGGCGCTCTGTGGGTGTGGGGTTCCTGATCTCCACACTGGCAATGCGAAAAAACAGATTCCGCATAATAAATACCCCCAGTTCACTGTCTTCTTTAATGGGATGTCCGTCTTCCCGAGGATTTATCATTCAAAATGTGAAAGTCTCTGTAGATCTACAAAGTATCGTGCAATGCATCATGGAGCATCACCGCAAAATCTGTTTTTCGCATCACCAACGTGCAGATCGGAAATAAGAATGATCCGCAAAATGAGGACGATCCTTATTTTTTGGGATACGTCTGTCTGCGTTTACGAAGACGAGCCCCTACTGTAGACGTATTATTGGAAGGAAAAAAAGGGAAGCAGCATCAAACTGATATTGATAAGTGATAGTGAACAACAGAACAAGTTAAGACTTCAACTTAGTCTCAGTTACTACATGTACATGTAAGTCTTAGGTAAGTCAGATCTGGCCTAGCAATACCTGTTGTCAATTTGCCTTAGCCTTAGCCTAACCCTAGCAGTAGCATGGCTGCACATCACACTGACAGTCAACTCACAGACACAAAATATGCACCCTGCAGTGACCAACATTGCTAAGCTGTGCTGAGTGCACAGCCCCTGCCCTGGGTCATATTCGTAAAACAAGCGTGAAATACGTACCAAACCATTCCATAAGCCCCTTCCCCGATGTAGTTCAGGGTAACATAGCGTGGACCGACATCGAAGACTTGTCCTCTCACAGTTTCAGGTTTCTCTTCGTTGGTCCGCTTAGTTTTTGCACCTCCTTGGTCGGCCATTTTCAAGCTTCCTTTCCGCCGTACATGTATCGGAGATTCACCGCTGAGCGCCAGCTAGCTATGGATAAGATAAGCCGTACATGTACCGTACCCACTAGTACTGTTGTATAGCGATCGTGTACATTGGCCAAAAGTTCAATCATGACGTCAATGGGTTTCGTGAAGAGAGGTCACGGAGCCTTTACAAAACCATGCACAGTTCGTGGGATTGTAGAATGGTGTTCAACTCATCTTTGTTCCATAATGTTGGTCAAGCATTTCCACAGCAAAGTCAATCTGATATCGGAATAATCAATTTTTAAAATTAATACAATTTGGTTCCCTGATTTTGCCTTCGAAATCAATTTAAGACTTTAAAAAATGCACTTGAGAAATATGATGACCACCGATGTTTTGTTTTTTACCTAAAATAATGCGATACGTAAGTACCGTACATCAGAAATGAATATCTGAAGGTTGTTGTTATTCATATAACTCCACTTTTTGGAAATTTTTGGCTAACATCCCATTTTATGTCAAAATTGTCCAAAGACGTTTTTTGGATATCCTTCACTTATGCAAATTCAGATTAACTTCAAATCTAAGGTAATGGGTTGGCATTCTATCCTGAAATAAAAGCATTACCATCAACACAAACGAGAAAACCAAACAAACACGGCAAAACGCACTAAAGATACTTAATAAGGACACAAACCTCCACAGAATGTAAGGCAAATTGTTTGAATATAATACTGTAGGCCTACGCAATTATGACCAAATTACACTCGACATAAATTATTATTAACATCTTTATTTATCATAAATAAAACAAATATACGATAAATAAACGAAACCTCGACAAAACAAAAAGTAAATCGTATCTTAAGATCGAGTAACATTGCTATAACTAAATCAGATAAGATTCTGCACCATGATTATCTTGAGTTGCTTTTTTTTTGGGGGGGGGGGGGTGTTATTATACTAGGCCTATATATAGGTATATAGGCGGCTAATTGCTTGCTGTGGTATACTGTATGTATAAAATCATACGGATCAATAATAACCGACGGTTGAAACAAATCAGGCAATAAACATAACTTGCCCGTTTGAATAATACACATTTTTTATCGTTGCCTTCCCCCGTGAATGGGAGACCCCGCCCCCCCCCCTCCTTTGAAAAATATATATTATTACGTTTTTTGTCCTTAACGTGCATGCCCTATACAAACTATATTTCTTCATAGTAGCATTTTGTAATTTGACAGGATGAAGAAAGATGTCAATAAGATTGACATGGTCCTAAACTGCAATGGGGTCCCTAATGATACTTTCTTGCACCTAAAATTCTACCCAGAATTCTCCCCGCCCTAACAGTTCTTGAAACTAGTCTTGAGAGGTCTAAACATGCTTATAGATGGTGGAGTGAATTCACTAATATAAGGCAACCATTAAACATCGTCTAGAAAAACCAATTTTGGCTTGATTTGTTCGGAATCTATAATCCAACTACACTGAATAACCGGCAGTACACGACCGGGGATTGTAAGTTCAAGCTCGATATAGAACAATTAATGTTGAAATATAATTGATTGATGTTATAGGAGCAGCAAAGTAACCACAATAACCAGTTCGTTCTGTTTAACCAGAAATTAAATTAAATTGTACCGAGAAGGGATCGGCGAATAGGAAAGGTGCTGGGTTAAAAAATAATAATTCTGGCACAGAAGATCACTATTACATAGAGTATAATGTAACAATAAAGTAATTCCATCATGAGACCTTGTTTTATCACGTATGTTCCAGCTGTCCAGTAAAAGTCAATATCAATACTTCTCTATAAAAGAAACCTTCATTCCTCGTCACTCAAACTCATTTCAACGGCAACAGAGCCTTTGAAGTGGCTGTTCTCTGGAGTTCGCTCCCTCTGCATATCCGTCAGGCTCCCACACGACAGACTTAATTTCAAAACCCTTCTCAAAACTTACCTGTTCCGTTTGTAATTGTTGACATTACAATTAATGTATGTATTATAATTACAAATGTTACTCTAATTGATTTTTCTGATATACCGTATTTGCTTTTTGTATTTACTTTGCTCTTAATGATTTAATAAATTTAGCTATACATGTCTTATTGTCTTTAGTTTAAGTTTTTTGTATTTCGTTCTTGTAATTAGTTAAATATATTGCTTATTTGTTACTATGTGAAGCGCAAATAAATCAATCCTTATTATCATTATCATTTTCAAATCAATGGTGATGATGATGAAAATGATGATAATAATTATAAAAAACGTAAATATGAAAATTGTTGTATCTAGGTGGCAGGGTGTCGTGAACCGGGCGGCCAAAAAATGTAAAGGAGAGAAAAAGATAATGGGGAGAAAAAGAAGAAAAGACACGAGAATAAATTAATTGTAATAGAAAAAGATTTTTCAGGGTTAAGAATATGAGAACAAATTGGAAAGCTCGGTCGCTTTGCCAACTCGCATGTGTTGCTTCAGCTGGATCTCGTGATCATAATGAATAGCGTTTATGAGTAAGATAACCATGAATTCTCGTTGGTTGGCTCCTTATAAATTGCGCCTCAATAAACCGCAGTGGGCAAATAAATGACATTTGGGAAAGTTCAGTATCTAAAATAAATCTTAAATCTATAGCTTGCTATGTTCTTTGACTATATTCCTCCACAGAGTTCGTTAATGTGCACCGCAGTTGAAGTGAATAGAAAGCCGCTTATCATTATGTCAAAAATATTCTACTCCACTATTCTGTTGCAGGTGGGGGGGGGGGGGGGGGGGGGCTTCCCCGAGGATTTTAAGAGTTCCAATTTTCGAGCAACCATCTGATCTGCCTCATATTTAGGGGAAATGTGCTGGAATATACTATATTTTGATGATACCTTCGCTAGTGAATTTTGATGATTGAAATAACATTTTAAAGAGAACAAAGTATTTAAATTCGAATCTTCGTAATCGGGCAGCGTGTATTTTCCTTACATAGCAATATATCTATTCCAATGAAAATACCTTTTTTTTCTCGCTCGCTTTGCTTTGCTCGCTTGTAAGAATGGACAGGGGGCGTAATTTCTTAATGTTTGCCCTCGGCGCCGAAAAACCGCCACTGTACAATCTCATCATAGGCCAATGGATAACCCACAAAACTTGATGACACACACGACAGACTTAATTTCAAAACCCTTCTCAAAACTTACCTGTTTCGTTTGTAATTTTTGACATTGCAATTAATGTATGTATTATATTACAAATGTTACTCTAATTGATTTTTCTGATATATTTGCTATTTGTATTTACTCTGCTCTTAATGATTAATACATTTATTTTACATGTCTTTAGTTTAAGGTTTTTGTATTTCGTTCTTGTAACTAGTTAAATATACTTGTACATGCTTATTTTTTACTATGTGAAGCGCAAATAGAAAATTTCGTTTATTATGCGCTTAATCCTTATTATATCATTATCATTTTTCAAATCAATGGTGATGATGATGATAATGATGATAATGAAAAAACGTAAATATGAAAAGTGTTGTATCTGGGTGGCAGGGTGTCGTGAACGGGGCGGCCAAAAATGCAAAGGAGAGAAAAAGAGAATGGGGAAAAAAAGATGAAAAGACACGAGAATAAATTAATTGTAATAGAAAGAGATTTTTCAGGGTTAAGAACAGCATGCGAACAAATTGGAAAGCTCGGTCGCTTTGTCAACTCGCATGTGTTGCTTCAGCTGGATCTCGTGATCATAGCTTTATGAATAGCATTTTTGAGTAAGATAACCATGAATTCTCGTTGGTTGGCTCCTTATAAATTGCGCCTCAATAAACCGCAGTGGGCAAAAAAAAATGACATTTGGGAAAGTTCAGTATCTAAAATAAATCTTAAATCTATAACTTGCTATGTTCTTTGACTATATTCCTCCACAGAGTTCGTTAATATGCGCCGCAGTTGAAGTGAATAGAAAGCCGCTTATCATTATGTCAAAAATGTTCTACTCCACTATTCTGTTGCAGGTGGGGGGGGGGGGGGGGAGCTTCCCCGAGGATTTTAAGAGTTCCAATTTCCGAGCAACCATCTGACAGTGCCTCATAATTTAGGGGAAAATGTGCTGGAATATACTATATTTTGATGATACCTTCGCTAGTGAATTTTGATGATGGAAATAACATTTTAAAGAGAACAAAGTATTTAAATTCGAATCTCGTAATCGGGCAGCGTGTATTTTCCTTACATAGTAATATATCTATTCCAACGAAAATACCTTTTTTCTCGCTCGCTTTGCTTTGCTCGCTTGTAAGAATGGTCAGGGGCGTAATTTTTCAATACTTGCCCTCGGCGCCGAAAAACCTAGAAACGCCACTGTACAATCTCATCATAGGCCAATGGATAACCCACAAAACTTTTTTTTATTTATTTTTTATTTTTTACATACAATACCCAACTCTCCACGCTACGCAACGACTACTTTATAGCACGAATACTGTTTATTTGGAAAGAAAAATATCGAAAACGTTAAAAACTCTTTTGCGGATGGACCTTGCAGATTGTCAAAAATTTCACGACGCCGTATTCTAAAGGTAAGCAGATACAAAAGATATATTTATTATAAACGCATATGTTTACGATAAATGAAAAAATGTCTGTATAGTGTTTGGTTCATTTGTTTGATTGTTAATCGTAGGTTTTTGTTTGTTTGTTGATAGCATTGTGTGCTTGTTTTTTCAATACGACTCGATCAGCTCCTCCGAGGGTATTACCCTCGCTATCGTACGAATGCAATTTCATTAGCTACCTTAATTCCAGATGAGGAGACTGGTACGTATCACAATCTCAGGACATGATTACAGTAAGCTTATTCTTCTTCTTTCGTTACAAATATTTTGATGGCAATCGGTCACGACTATTGTTGACAGTGACTATATTTTGTATCTTTCTCTCTCTCTCTCTCTCTCTCTCTCTCTCTCTCTCTCTCTCTCTCTCTCTCTCTCTCTCTCTCTCTCTCTCTCTCTCTCTCTCTATCTTAATTGATAATTATGCATAAACTTTCTGGCCCGAATTCACAAAGGAGGTTTGTCGACAAACTTTGGTTTTCGTGCGTCATAATGACGCGTTTCGACGTGTTTTTACAAACCAGGTTTGTAAAAAACGCGTAAAAAGGCGTCATATGACGTGCGAAAACCAAGGTTTGTCGACAAACCTCCTTTGTGAATTCGGGCCTCTTTGTGACTGTGTTTGTCTTCCTTTTTTTTTTTTTTTCTAACAAAATCTTATACAAAATTATAGGCTACCTATATAGGCTATAGCTAAATAGACAAAAACAAAATCCGAAGACAGCCACTATCCCCACCACTATCCACCGCGCAGTTCCAACTGCGCTTGCCCTGTCCGTTCTCAGATGCAATCTTACCTGTCAGGGCGGTACGTTGCGCCCCCCCCCCCCCCGCCCGCCCCCAAATTACAGTGGCGTTAAAAGCACAAACATTTTTTTTTTTTGGGGGGGGGGGGGCAGAACAAATATTCGCATCACCACCCGACTCTTACATGGTACATGCAAGCCCTGTGGAACGTTTTTCAAAGTGTGTGTATAAACCATCAGGTAGAGAGGAGCGGACATTGGCGTGGGATGGAGGGGCATCTACGGTCAGATGAACATTCAGGGGCCCGCCTTAGAGCCCCTAAACGGGTCCATGGGGGCAGAGCCCCAGAAGCTAGGGGATTTAGGCATTTAATAACGGTCAGTTGAGGATCCATGGGCCTGCTTAGGGCACTTGGTGGGGTTCAGGGGGTTATGCATTTAATTACGGTCAGATGAGCATAAATTATTTTGATACCTTTTTGTGATACTGGCAGGTCATTGATTGGAGTGGGGTCCAGTGGGCGGAGCCCCCAGAAGCTCAGGGTGTTAGGAAGTAATTCCCTTTCAGATGAGCATCCAGGGGCCTGCCTTAGGGTCTTTGATGGGGTCCAGGGTGCAGAGCCCCCGCAAGCTCAGGAGTTTTAGACATTTAATTACGGTCAGATGGGCACAAATTATTTGTATACCTCATATTTATGTGACACTTGCAGGTCACTATTCTATCTCTCTATCTTTTTATTTCTCTTTAACATACTTTTTGAGGAAAAAAAAGTGTGGGGGGGGGGGTGCTCGAGCCCCCCGGAGCCCCGCTGTTTCGCGTTCTTTGACACTTGGGCTTCTAAATAACTCTAGTTTTGCCTGACTGTAAATTTGGGACTTTGTTATTTTCCAACAAACGCATAAAAAAGTATAATTTACAAAAAAGTGAGAAAAAATCCCGGAAAATCATGTCATTTTAGCAATATTTGTTAATCGCTGGTATGGAATTAGAAATAAACCGCGTTTGAATTTTAGAGGGGGGGGGGGAATCTGTTGTTTCTGTTGTTCCTGTTGTAATTTGTTTGAACACAGTCTTTCATGTTTCTTTGTCTGCTCCTTTTTCTTCCTCCGTCCTTTTACTTTTTTCTCTCTCTTCTCTCTATCTCTTTTTGGCCGGCGTTCTTTTTATTGGAGGGGGAGGGGCGACCGCCCCCACCGCCCCACCCACCCCCCCCCCCCCCCCTCTGGCTACGCGCCTGCCAATTTACCACACGTTACTTTGTTTTAACCCAATTCAACTTATCAGAAAGGTTAAATTACTTCATTTTGAACTACAATTATAAGATTTAGGCATTGTTTTCGGATTTAAAGTCACCATCACCCGTACTGATCCCCTAATATTCAAGACAGGCTGTGATCGCTCAAACATAATACGGGGCTAAATTCCAATTGACTGCTAATAAACATCACAATAACCAGAGAAGGACAAAATATTTGACTGCCAATTATTCGAAACTATCGGCTTACATTATGCTTTCCAACCAATGCGTTGTCACCTTTAGTAATGAATTCTCTTGAAAAAGACATCAATATATAATTCATTTATACTGTATATCACAAATGTTTACACTTTTATCAACAGCTAGGTTCGTTGTTTATTTAAACAAATTCGTTGGGTGGGGCATAGAGTAATTCTATGGCATGGCCTTAAAGGAAAAAGCATCACGGGAACATACACAACAGTGAAATAATTGAAGACTTTATCTGGGAAACATCAGTATTAAGCGCCTAATAAATGTTATGTATTATTATTATTATTATATGGAAACATAGTTATACAAGCAAATTCAAAGAATGGTGACACACAGAAACATCTATGTTGCATTATTATCCACACAAAAATTAATCACTCTATGATGATAATCATGTACCAGAGATGATCAAATTAACTTTGCACGTGCATGGTTCTCTTTTATAGGAAAGCTAGATTTGTTTATTAGATAACAATCCTCCTCCTCCTCCTCCTCCTCCTCCTCCTCCTCCTCCTTGTATTATGCAAGTCAATATTTTTTAAATATTTAATAAGTGTTGTCTATGTTCTACAACTGTTTTAGCTTTTCAAAAAATTATTGTTGAGTTGTAAACAAAATTTCCCTACTGTGGCAAGGTGTTTTTAAAATATATATTTTGTACCACTGTTGATCAAATCATATCTTGCATACTCCAATGGACATACAAGCTATTCTAAGAATCTTGAGAATCATCTGTAGATGGGGTTCATTTACCTTCGACACCTTTACCTATACAAAAAGAAAAACATAACATATCATGTGTCTCAGGCGCGTACACAGGGGGACTTTGGACTTCTTTTTTTTTTGTTATAAAAAAATTAAAAAAAAAAAAATATTCCCATGGCTGAACTAAAAAAGCGCTGACCTTACCCGCCCCCCCCCCCCCCCCAACGGAGCAAAATGTCAAATTTTCAAATTTCGAGACCAAAAAAGTGTCCTCTTCCCCCCCCCCCCCCCCCCGCTTATTCAGCGGCTGGCTGAGTCGTTGCGAAATTTTCGGCCCGATTTATAAATGTTAAACCCCCCCCCCCCCCCCTTGAAAAAATCCTGCGTACACGCCTGATGTGTCTTGAAACCTATGTCAAAAGTCTTAAAACAAAAACAAAAAACACCGTTCACCTATACGGTTTGAGGGACAGGGCCCGGTAGGCACATCATTCACAGCTCACAATCTCCCAGCCAGGAGTTACCTACGAGAAACGGGAAAAAACATGTTTTTACATACACTAAATGCTATGAAAGCATTACATACCAATAATAATCACCTCATTGAACATAAGCTTAGAGCTAGAATTCAAACAAAATACTAACAAAAGGACAAAAACGGATGAAAAAAAGTTGGTTCTAAATTTTACAAACCTGACTGAACAAACACTTACAAATAAGTGTTAAGAACCCAGGTTGGGCGTGCCGTTTACCTAAAGTTTAAGGGCATGGCCTGTTAAGCTCATCATTCATATGTCACCATCTCCAAGCCAGAGGTTACCCACACTAAATTATACTAAGCCTCAAGTCCTACAAAAGAAAGAAAGAAAGAAAAAAAAATCAGTAACTGACCGAACAAAGCCTTGCAACTAATTGATAAATATATAATACCTGACTGGGCGTGCCGTTCTCCTACAATTTAAGGGGGAAGGCCCGGAAGGCACATCATTCACAGGTCACCATCTCCCAGCCAGGAATTACCTACACTAAATTCTACTGAGCCACGAGGGCCTACACAAAACAAAAGAAACAAGTCCAAACAGGGTCTTTAAATATATTAAGAAAAATATATAATACCTGGCTGGGCGTGCCGTTCTCCTACAATTTAAGGGGCAAGCCCTGGTAGGCACATCATTCACAGGTCACCATCTCCCAGCCAGGAATTACCTACACTAAATTCGACTAACCCTCAAGGGACTACAGAAAAAGACAAAACAGCATTAGTACCTGACCGACCAAGGCCTTGCATATAATTGATAAATATATAATACCTGACTGGGCGTGCCGTTCACCTATACAGTTTAAGGGGCACCACATGTCACCATCTCCCAGCCAGGAATTACCTACAATTACATCTACTATCACTCAAGGGCCTACAGAAGAAAGTTTTTTTTTTTAACAGTTCCTGTCCAAACAGGATCTTTCCATTAATTAAGAAATATATATAATACCTGACTGGGCGTGCCGTTCGCCTACAATTTAAGGGACAAGCCCCGGTAGGCACATCATTCACAGGTCACCATCTCCCAGCCAGGAATTACCTACACTAAATTCTACTAAGCAACGAGGGCCTACAGAAGAAAAAAAATCAGTACCTGTCCAAACAGGGTCTTTAAATATATTAAGAAAAATATATAATACCCGGCTGGGCGTGCCGTTCTCCTACAATTTAAGGGGCGAGGCCCGGTAGGCACATCATTCACAGGTCACCATCTCCCAGCCAGGAATTACCTACACTAAATTCTACTGAGCCACGAGGGCCTACGGAAAAAAAAAAATCAGTACCTGTCCAAAAAGGGTCTTTAAATATATTAAGAAAAATATATAATACCTGACTGGGCGTGCCGTTCTCCTACAATTTAAGGGGCGAGGCCCGGTAGGCACATCATTCACAGGTCACCATCTCCCAGCCAGGAATTACCTACACTAAATTCGATTAACCCTCAAGGGACTACAGAAAAAGACAAAACAACATTACTACCTGACCGACCAAGGCCTTGCATAATAATTGATAAAACTGACTGGGCGTGCCGTTCACCTACAGTTTAAGGGGCAAGCCCCGGTAGGCACATCATTCACAGGTCACCATCTCCCAGCCAGGAATTACATATACTACATTCTACTAAGGCTCAAGGGCCTACAGAAGGAAGATTTTTAAAAACAATCAGTTCCTGTCCGAACAGGGTCTTTCAATTAATTACGAAATATATATAATATCTGACTGGGCGTGCCGTTCTCCTACAATTTAAGGGGCGAGCCCCGGTAGGCACATCATTCACAGATCACCATTCCCAGCCAGGAACTACCTACACTAAATTCTACTAAACAAAGAAGGCCTACATAAAAAAATTAAAAAAACCAGTACCTGTCCAAACAGGGTCTTTAAATACATTAAGAAAAAATATATAATACCCGACTGGGCGTGTCGTTCTCCTACAATTCAAGGGGCAAGCCCCGGTAGGCACATCATTCACAGGTCACCATCTCCCAGCCAGGAACTACCTACACTAAATTCTACTAAGCCACGAGGGCCTACAGAAGAAAAAAAATCAGTACCTGTCTAAAGAGGGTCTTTAAATATATTAAGAAAAATATGTAATATCTGACTGGGCGTGCCGTTCTCCTACAATTTAAGGGGCAAGCCCCGGTAGGCACATCATTCACAGGTCACCATCTCCCAGCCAGGAACTACCTACACTACATTCTACTAAGCCAAGAAGGCCTACATAAAAAGTTAAAACAAATCAGTACCTAACCGAACAAAGCGTGGCAGCTAATTAAGAAATATATAATACCTGTCTGGGTGTTCCGTTCACCTACATTTAAGGGGCAGGGACCGGGAGGCACATCATTCACAGGTCACAATATCACAATATCCCCGGTAGGCACATCATTCACAGGTCACCACCCCCCGGCCAGGAATTACAAATACTACATTCTACTAAGGCTCAAGGGCCTACAGAAGGAAGATTTTTTTAAAAAAATCAGTTCCTGTCCAAACATGGGTCTTTCAATTAATTACGAAATATATATAACTAGCAGGACCCGCGGAAATCCGCGGGATCCTAGAGGGGGCGGGGGGTGTAAATAGATATATAGAGACTGTCTAAATTAAAACCACCAAGAACTTTATTTGCCATTCAGGCCATTAAGAAATATACATGTTAAGCGTCCCCGCCCGCTTCCTTTTTGGGGGCCGCCTCCTATTTTTTTTTTTGAAATTTTTTGAAAAGTTTTTTTTTTTTTTTTGAAAGAAAAAAAAACAGCGTCCCCGCCTGCTTCCTTTTTGGGGGCCGCCTCCTATTTTTTTTTTTTTTTTTTTTTTTTTTATTTTTATTTTTTTTTTTGAAGAAAAAAAACATGAAAAGCACTGCTAAAATGTATTTCTGATTTTAAAAAAAAAAAAAAAAATTGTCGGCCGCCATCTTGAAAAATAGCCTGAATGTCAGGAAAAATGTACGGAGCGGCCATTTTAAAAGAAAATAAAAATTTAAAAAAAGGGCCTCCTCCTTCCCATTTTTCGAAAAAACAGGAAGCTAAACATGTTTTTTTTTTAATTTGGCCTTATATAAAAATAAAAAAAACGATCCAACTGTACCGGTAGTTATTCTTTAAGCCACTGGAACTGCGTAGAGTTCCGTAGTGTGGCGTACCGACTACGCAGAAATTAGGCTGCGTATTAATGGGGAAATAGTCCCTGCGTAGGTTATGCGTAGGCTGGCGAAAAAAATTAAACAGGTTGAATTGTTTTCGTTCATCTTGCGTACCCCTTTCCGTCCCTCAGCATATAGTAACGTAGGCCAGCGTAGTTGTTACGCAACACTACGCAACTCTACGTATTGACCCCACGCCAATTAGTGACCCGCAAGTGTCACAAATAAAGTATTAAAAATATGCTCATCTGACCCTATACGCCTAAAACCCCCGAGCTTTCGGGGTTTATGGCCCCTTGAAACCCGTGGACCCCACGCCTATATTATATATACACTCAACTCGCTGCGATCTGATCTCTCCCCCCCCCCCAACTTTGAAAAACGTAACCCCCGAGCTTTTGGGGGTTATGGCCCCTTGAAACCCGTGGACCCCACGCCTATATTATATATACACTCAACTCAGGACCCGCGGAAATCCGCAGGATTCTAGAGGGGGTGCACAGGCAAAAAATTAAGTTTTTCATTTCGGGGGCTCCATTTCAAATTTTAGGGAAATTTTCTGGGGCTCTTTTTTCTGGGGCTACTTTTTCATTAATTCATATAAGGATAGGCCTACACTTTGTTGAGATTTGTTTAGTAGGCTATTAGGTTTCAGGCTTCCTACTTCATAATTGCCTCCCAGATAGCAAAGTATCTGGGGCCCATATGGATTTTATCTGGGTTGTCTGGGCCCCATATTGCCCAGATGAATCCCATATGGGAAGTAAATGCGAATTGGTATATGGGGCCCAGATAAATGGGGCCCATCTGGTTTATATCCGTGGCCCATATGTACCAGATATAACCCATATGGGCTGCAGATGAGCACTTCTAGATGGGGCCCATATGGTGAAAGATATCTGGGGCCCATCTGGTTTATATCTCTGCCCATATGTACCACATATAACCCATATGGGCTGCAGATGAGCACTTCTAGATGAGGCCCATATGGTGAAAGATATCTGGGGCCCATCTGGTTTATATCTCTGCCCATATGTACCACATATAACCCATATGGGCTGCAAATGGGCATTTCTAGATGGGGCCCATATAGTGAAAGATATCTGGGGCCCATCTGGTTTGTTTCTCGGCCCATATGTACCACATACAACCCATATGGGCTGCAGATGGGCATTTCTAGATGGGGCCCATATAGTGAAAGATATATGGGGCCCATCTGGTTTATTTCTCGGCCCATATGTACCACATCTAACCCATATGGGCTGCAGATGGGCATTTCAAGATGGGGCCCTGATGGTTGAAAATATCTGGGGCCCATCTGGTTTATATCTGGGCCCATATGTACCACATCTAACCCATATGGGCTGCAGATGGGCATTTCAAGATGGGGCTCAGATGGTGAAATATATATGGGGCCTATCTGGTTTATATCTGGGCCCATATATACCACATCTAACCCATATGGGCTGCAGATGGACATTTCAAGATGGGGCTCAGATGGTGAAAAATATATGGGACCCATCTGGTTTATATCTGGGCCCATATGTACCACATCTAACCCATATGGGCTGCAGATGGGCATTTCAAGATGGGGCTCAGATGGTGAAATATATATGGGACCCATCTGGTTTATATCTGGGCCCATATGTACCACATCTAACCCATATGGGCTGCAGATGGGCATTTCAAGATGGGGCTCAGATGGTGAAATATATATGGGGCCTATCTGGTTTATATCTGGGCCCATATGTACCACATCTAACCCATATGGGCTGCAGATGGACATTTCAAGATGGGGCTCAGATGGTGAAATATATATGGGACCCATCTGGTTTATATCTGGGCCCATATGTACCACATTTAACCCATATGGGCTGCAGATGGGCATTTCAAGATGGGGCTCAGATGGTGAAATATATATGGGACCCATCTGGTTTATATCTGGGCCCATATGTACCATACATAACTCATCTGGGCTGCAGATGGGCATTTCTAGATGGGGCCCGGATGGTTGAAGATATCTGGGGTCCATCTGGTTTATATCTGGGCCCATATGTACCATACATAACCCATATTGGCTGCATATGGGCATTTCAAGATGTGGCTCAGATGGTGAAAAATATATGGGGCCTATCTGATTTATATCTGGGCCCATATGTACCACATCTAACCCATCTGGGCTGCAGATGGGCATTGCTAGTTGGGGTCTAGATGGTTGAATATATCTGGGGTCCGTCTGGTTTATATATCTGGGCTCATATGTACCACATATAACCCATATGGGCTGCAGATGGGCATACCTAGATGAATCCCATATTGTGAAAAATATGTGGGACTCATTTGGTTTATATTTGGGCCCAT